ATGTAATTTTATTTAATATGACTACACGTACGAAAAATGTATTTAATAAAACTACACGTAAGGTAAACAATAAAGTCAAGTAAGGGTATTTATAATGGTGTACAGAGTATGAAACAGTTATGAGCGAACCGATTCTTAATTATTGCAAAGTAAAGTAAATATAAAATTGTAATGATGGCAAACTTAGCTGAATATATTGAAATGTCTGAATGCATGCCCACAAAGTGATAAGCGTATGGCTTTGAACGAACTGTACATGCATATTTTAGACCTAAATATGTCGAGAAAACCCATAGCAATTTTATTTAGTGTAATGTTAATTTTTAAAGGAAATTACTCGCGGGTTAAGTGTTGTTTGTGTGAAATACTTTGCAAACAAAAAAACCTAAAGTTGATATCGAAGTCAGTCGTCACGTGGTGACAACGACATTGTGCCATCGTACAGCATACTCGTTGCATTAAAAAGTTTGACAAAGCAAAAAACAGGTAAGGCGATTCTGAGTGGAAAAGCCAATAGGCAAATCGAACTCCTCGGACAAAGGCCTTTCTAATGATATGAGATTTGAAGCATTTGATCGAGAAATTTGCGAGAAAAGTTCGCGACAAACATACACAAGCGTATTACTTATAAACTTAGCTAGCTTCGTCATATGGAACCCAGATCAATGTATGATTAATAATCATTAAATAATCCATAATATTTAAGAATAAACTGTTCACTGTGATAGTTTAACATTAATCTATTAGACGGCACACACAAAAAGTTCCAACAATATTTCTTTTATGATAATTAGAAAATAAATATGGCCGTCAGATGGCGCTAAGAGCCAATTTAATTTTAATTGTTGCGGTGAAAACATCTGTTTGTAGTAGTTTAATACTGTACACGTAACTTCGTTCGCTAGGTAAGTGAAAACACACACACACACAAAATAATGATAACACAAAAAGTTAAGCCAAGGCCCGGATTATAGGTAATGATAAGGACTATATGCCAGCGCGAGGAACATGTTTTTGAACTCGGCTTTGATTTAATGTAAAAGTTATCTTTGTTACATTTGCAGTCTGAGATCTAAGTGATAGAATTTATAAATTGTCAAAAGTTCATTCCGATCATCCTCATGAGTTTCAATCACAGAAAAAGAAGAAGAAAAAATTTGTAAACATCTAGCGTATTAAAATGTAATAATTTAGAGTAATCCTAACAGAAAACAGATTGAGAATGCGATCTACTCTTTAAAAGTTTAATTTGTAACGTGTGAAAAAGCTTCTGAATTAGTGAAATTTACCGTTTTAAAATTAAAGATAAATTTTTATGCTTTACTACTACTAGTAGTCTTTATATTTTAGTCGTCGTAATTACTAACGTTAAAAGTAAATGTTTATTATTACTAATTAGTTTTACTAATTACTATTTTTTTATGTAGTTAATTTAATGGAAAATATGTCCCAAATAACAGAATAAAATCAAATTCTTTTAGAATACATTGAATATCACTTGATGTTGAAAAAGTCAGAGTGAAGCATAAAAGTTGGAACATTGCTATTTCACTATTTATTTATCATACATGTTTTTTACCATATGCTTACTTGTAAGCTTCTTTATCACAACTATTATAAAAGAGTGCTTTGTACACAAGATTTTTAAAATCCAATAAATTCTTCAAAGGTTGTGGAGCATGAGTTTGAACAAATTTTATATTTTTGTTGTAACTTTTCCAGTTTTTAAAATTACCGTATTCACTGATAAAGTTAGGTTAATTGTTTCAACAGGTGACTAGTACTACTACTACTAGACTAAGTAAGGACAGATTTTGCCCACTAGATTGTATATATTGTTGCTGCTATATTCATGATCAATAACAAAATGTGTTTTGTGTTTAATGTAAGGTATGGTAGTTACATCTTTGTTTATTTTTTCAAACTGTTTAGAAGGTTCAAAGAAACAAAAAGTTTAGCCTTCAGTAATTCATTTAAAGAATAATATCAATCATGAGAGAAAATATAAGTATTTACAATGTTGTATTTTTATTTCTTGGTTAGAAAATAGACACAATGCATTCATGTGCAAAATTGAAAAAGTGAAAAGTTAATATGTAAAAATAAAAAATTATATATCTTAATATGTAAACAGGATTGTAAATTTGATTTTTATTGTTCAGTTGTTGATGTTCTCATGCACTTTTCTGCATTCTACTTGACTGAGATAAATATATATTTTCAGAAACATAGATTATTCTCAATTGTTAATTTACAGAATTTAACTGAGCGAGTAGGATGGAAGGAACATCTAAGAAGAAAAAGAAGAATATGAGTAAACAGGTTGTCAAAAAAAAGTTTCCTGGAGTTGATGAACTGAAAATCTATGATCATCTGTTGTTTGTTGACTTAAATCAATTTAGAAGGTAGGCATGTTATGATACATAGTCCATATTAGGAACATACCATGTAAATGTGTACTCTTAACTTCTTAATATTGCAACATTTTCCTTTGAAAATGGATTTTCCATTCATGATGCAAATTTGGCCGTGTATGCAAATGCGATGGTTTGTAAACATTTTTTAATTTGACACTTAGTAATGCTCTGTAACTCAGTTTTGTACTATCACTTTATTGTTAATTATTAACAAAATAGTATGTTTTTGAAGTTCTAATTTATAAAATCCAGGTGATTTTCACCACATTACTAAAGCTCTTTGGCATTTCTCTGTAAATACAAAATTTGAAATATTAAAACAACTTGTGTTTTAAATTACAGAGCCCAACATTCTACTGCTTTCTGTTTAAAAAAACAAAACATAAAGGAATAAGGATTTTAAAATACCTATCCTGATTGGGGCTTGAATCTTTGACTCATACCAGTGCTTTAACCAACTGAGCTAATAAGACTCAAGTTCTAAACAGTTTAATCCCCCCCACCTCTTGACCATCACATTATTCCTTCTTTACTCAAACAAGGCTTGTCCTCAACAGAAAACATGTACAGCAACTTGGTCACTTATTTTGTCAGTACATGACAAAACCCAACATCTGAAGCCACAAACACAATCTCACACATACAACACATCAGTCTTGCTGCTGAGCCAAGCATATACACAGATGGTCTGATTTACCATCTCTTCAGCTCAAGGGTGGTACAACCATTAATTGGGCACAAATATAGTGTACCATAATGTAAGGAAATCTGCCGACATAAAATTTAAACCTTGGACCCTCTGCTCACACCAAATATTCTTTTACCAACTGAGTTACTGGTATTCAACTTCCCAGTAAGTCACTCTTCATTATGACAGTTGTAATGTGATAAAACCATATTCTTTTTTTTTCAGTTAAAAATGGTACAGAAAAGTTACAAACTTTGAAAACAATTTCAAGTACTTGCATAAAAAATAATAGACTAGGCAAAACAAATAACACTGAAAACAAAGTCATTAAACTGAATAATCTAAGGGATCACAAACAAACATGTTGAAAATAAAGGCAACCTGCAATAACAAAAATTTATCATTGGAACTCAAAGTGATAAACTAGGTCTGTAATAACAAAAACATTTTTAAATTATGGGATGTCAAGGGGTCTTTTGGTCAATCAAGAATGCCCTGACTCCCAACAGCCTTCAACAAGCAGAAAACTAATCATTAAAATATGGCCTGACTCTCCAAGTATTCATCAACTACTTTCTTAAACTTTTCTGAAGTTGCAGCCACTACCACTTTATGACAATTTGTTGCATAGATTTACCTTCCTAGTGGAGAAATGAAATTGCAACTGGAGATATGTCTTTACTTCTCACTTCTGATATTTATGACATCTAGTTTCACTTCTCACAGAATTCAACACAATATTTTTATATATATATTTTATTTTTCAATACTTCAATTAGACTATTTTTTAATTGTTCTGCATTTACAGGTTCATTTCACTCATTCAGCATGTATTTCTAAATGCTTGGAAATGACAATCTTAAATTTGCAAGTTCTTGTATGTGAACTGTTACTCACGTAGTGGTGGATCCAGTATAACCTAACAAATGTTTAAGACATTTATATATCACGTTAGAAGTTTTGGTGATAGGTATTTGATCCTTCTATCTGAAGAAAACCTCTAATCTGCATATAGACTTGAAAGCACATCTGAGTTCAACTTGAGAGTATACAGCATAACTTGTTTCTAAATGAAATAGCCTCTTACCTTGTATATGGGAGGACTAAAGAAATGTTGTATTTAGCAAAATTCCAATTAGGTTATATAGAAAGATTTATTTTTTAAAAAAGGCTTTAATGACATGATTTATAATGTTTATTGAAAAGGTTATTTTTTTTTATAAAAGTTTCTTAATACTTCCTATCTCTTTATGAAACATGTCATACTTATTGGTTAATTTACATGCCTTATAAACCAATATCTTAACTAGGTTTTTCTTAAAAGGCAACAGTATAAAACTGTCAAGTTGGAGTACAAACCAGTGAAAGCCTTATGAAAAATTTCACATTCAAATTTAACATCTTCATTATGAGTAGAGAGGCATAAGAATATAAGAATGGATGTTGATAATCTTTTCAGTGTTCAACTGTAAATTTAATATTACAATGTCTGCTTTAAGATAGATTAAAAGAACTCATCTAAATATCTTCTATAATATACTGTTTAAACTGAGAAAGACATGAGCAACATTTTTCATGGTGAGACAATTCTCAACATACTGTTAAATCTGTGTTCGTTTGTTAATTTCCCATATAATTTCTTTCCGAAGAACTTCAGTGATACAAATATTTTCTTAAATAAATCTAGTTTATTCTTTCTCAATACAACTTTGCAATACAGTTAATTTCTACAGTCACTTTAACTTAAACACACACTATAATTCACAGCAATTCATGCACTTTACTTACGGTCACTACCGAGCTTGACTCAATTGTCCGTCTCTATCTCTGCCTGTCTGCCATTATATATCGCGTCTTCATTTGCTGGCTTATATACTATAAGAGCGCATGTCTAGCAAACACTCGAGCCTTCAGGAACGTTAGAGATATTGATTACGTCACGTGACTTCCGCTGTTGTATCAATATATATATGACAACTCCGTCATACCTGGAATCATGCTAGTAGCCATCCCTCTTCAGCAATCTTTATAAGAAGGATAAAAACTGCTTGCAGTACACCAAATGATACAATGAAGCCATATCCTTTTTTTTAGACTTATAATCAATGTTTCTCTCTATACAGCACAAAAGTTTTTTAGCAATAAAATACTGTCTTGAAGGCTGTTATCAATCAATAACCCAATATATTTTTTCTCATCTACATAATTTAAAGGGTTCACATTCAAATTTTATATGTAATGTATATTAGAATGACTCATATGCATAACCTTACACATAAATGTATCATAGTTAAATGGCATGCAACGTTTTGTCCAGCTAACAAACTTAGGTCCCAGTAAAATTATAGCATCATTATTATTGCCAGCCAGACCTAAGACTCTTACATCATCAACAAATTTAACTGTTTTCCACATTGTGCAGCTGTTGTTGTTATTAATGTAACTGAGGGATGACAATGGTCTCAGCACAGATCCCCGAGGCACAGTACTTGTAATGTTAGTCCAGGTAGGTCCAGTCAGTTTTTGAGTCATTTTACTAACCTGTTCCGTACTCAAACTATGGTAATATCATCACCAATTTTTTATGTGGTGCCTTATCAAAATCCTTCTGAGAATTCATATGAACCAAATATACACTTTTATCCTCATTTATGTAAGAAGTAACATTTTCAAGAGAGTTAATAAAGAAATAAACAAGATCTTCTCTTTGTAAAGCCATGTTTTTTGTCTGACAAATCATTGAACATCATTAAGTAATTCTGCAATGCATCTCTTATCAGACTCTAAATCTTTCTCCACTACCAAAGTAAGACTAGCTAGCTTGAAGTTTCCTGGACAATGCTTATCTTTCCTCCCTATAAAAATATCAACCTACAGGTAACAAAGGACCATTTGCTCCTTCAAGGTTGTTTTTCACACTCACTCTTGAGAAAATAAAACTTAAACTTACTCTTTAGGAAATCATTAGTTCCCCATCTTAAACTCTTGTAAAGTACTGACCTCCATTATTGCTTATGGCAATTCATTCCACAACCACCCTGGTAGAAAAATAAAACCATTTTAACTGGAGACTAGCATGACTTCAGATCTTAAACCCGTGTCCACCTTGCCTTATTATCCTCAGAAAATAGCACAAAGATTACAGGCCTTTATCCTGTTGATCGCTGGATAATCTTATAAACCTTTGTGTAAACAGTTGCAATTTCTGAAATGTAATGTTTATCCCTTAAGTTTCTATCAGACCACTTAGGTCTATTCCATATAATGATCAATTCTCTCCTAGACTGAACATAACTATTCAAAATTATAAGATCCAAATTCTGATCCCCCAAATAACAATGTCCAGGATGTCCTAAAGGTGCATGCTAAGTTTGGTTGACATCAGTTCAAAGGTGTAGGTGTAGAAAGCAATAGACAGATGACATTACTGCTCACTCTGTCTCTCACTCTCTCTCTCTATATATATATACACACACACACATTTATAGGTTTCTTCAGAAGTGCTATGGACAATGATTCTCATAAATAAAAACATTTTATGACAATCTCTGTTCGTAATTACAGAGTGATTGATGTACCATACATTATTTCTGAAGTCATAATGTGCTGCTATGCTCTCTTACATGTATAGTAATGTTGATAAGTTTTCCTTTAGGTTCCTATAGAATATTGAAGAAATACATAAAAGTAATGAAAAGTTTTAGTGTGTCACCAAAGGTAAAATCTGTAACATTCTGACAGACTTGTTTGATGTACTTTGAGATAAACCACAGAATATCTTGATAAACTGTCAATATGTAATTAAAGCAGGCAATAATATATTAGAGTGGGTTTATACAATGAAAATAAATGATGCAGAAAAATTAAAAGACAGAAGGAACAAAGATGAAGATGTATCAGAAGAATTTAGAAAACTTTTTCACACAGTTTTTTTTGTAAAAATTATTTCATGATCTCTAGATGAGATATCACTCCAAGTTTATAGTTAATTCTAATGGTAAATTAGTACCAGCAACAAGACTATAAAGTTATGCATGTGGATCAAAGTTTTATAAGTAATTTTTTGTGGCTTTCACAAGCATTTGAGAAATAATAATAAAAAACTTTTAAAACAACATGTAAATGTGTAAAATTAAATCATTACTGTTGTTGTTATATCTATTGTAACATCAGGTTTCATAAGGCCTAATTCTGTGGTGATTTAAAATGTTATGCATGTATGTTACTTTTATATAAAAAATATTATTAATAATAAAGTTAGTAATTATCGTGCATTTCTGAGTATTTTCAGAATGAAGAACTACATTTCATGGGTGAATTAATAATGGTGAAATATTTATAATTATTTACAATGCTTTTTCAGAATATATCTTAACTAAAACAGCACATATAAAAAACAAACATTGTAGTTTTAATGAACTGTGTTTGACCACGTATAAAAGTTAGGCTTTGAACACATTTATAAGAATGCCTTAAATTACTTATTTTCAACCCATCAAGATGTTCATTGGAAAATTTATTTTCTAAACACAAAATATGGATTGTGTGGTATGTCAGAAATAAAGAAATTCATTTGATTGTTTTACATTGGATTAATGTAAGCTTTTTTATGATTGCATCCATAAGTAAACCAGAATGAAAAAGTAGCTAAAAAAATGTTAATTTTTTTGTAAGCTTCTTCAAGTTACTTACAAGACCCTTTCCTGTATCTTCCTTCATTTTTTTGTTTTGTGGAGACCGTAATTATCGATTTCTGCCACCAACTAACAAAATCTGGAAGAAACTATTAGAGGAAGAAAGAATATTCTATCATCCCAAGTTTGGTACAACCAGTGGAGATGCAAATATAGCCATTAAACCAGTAGTAAGTACAAAGTATTGCATAATTCAAATTTTGCTACTATTGTAATTTTTAAGCTGTGCAATGTAAAGTGAGAAAGAAATAGCTTATTTTTTGCAAGATTTTTATGTCCTAATGTTGCAGGTAATTTTAGATTTTATATGATATACTTATTAATCAAATAGTAGTCTAACATAAGTGTTTGTGATTTTGTAGTTTCTTGAGTTTTATATTTTAATGATATCTGATGCACAATGATTTATAGTGTATTAAAACTTTATGTGCCTAGATACATAAACAAACAGTATATAAGGTATTACATGTAACTGATTATTTCATGTGTGTGTTAGGCATACATGACTGTTTCAATTTAAGTTTCATGCAACTGTTAAATTTACTTATTTTTAGAAGCAATGGTTTATTACAAGTTTGTTTATGTAACTGTGTACAAATCATACGTTGTGTAGTTCAATTGTTGTGAATTGGTGGTTGTTGTGTCATGTTACTAGAACCTTCAAAGTTTTTTCATTGTTTTGATTGAGTATTATTGTGTCATAATATCTCTTAGTGTGTAGAACATTTTAGGCCTCTTTCAGTCTGTAAATACACAAACAAGATGTAGTTCGAATAAGTTAGAGAGATAGATAGATCTAGACTGCGTGATTGTGAGTATAGCTGTAAAGAATGTGAAATTATCACCGATTGCATTGCAATAATACAGCAGAGAAGAATAATTCTTCTTGTCAATTGTCTTCAAAAGTAACTGAACCAGCCGTGTGGACTTTGATGAAAAAGAGACAACTATTTAAAGCTCTGGATACAACTGTGATAACCAACAGAGTAACAAACATTTGTATACATGTTTGACTTGTTTTAATATACTATTTTAAAACAAGTGGACTTTGTGTTGTTTGTTTATTGTTGAAATTTATTGCCAACAAGTCACAGACACCTACTGTAAAACATTCTGCCCACCCATATATAAAAACCTGACAATATGGGTATAGTTTAAAACATATAGATGTATCTATTATAAGAACCTTGAATGTATATCCTTTTTCACACCTGTGTTTGATATTATTTTCCAAGTAAAAGGAGTGTATAATTAGCCATTCTGAAATCTTTGAGACAGTTCTAGTAAGCAAATTACTGCAGTTAGTTTTATTCAAAGAAAACTGGCATTTTGAAGTTTTAAAGCAATGGAAATTTCTTGTCACTTGTATTTTTCCTATTTAAGAACCGTATAACACAGACATTAAAGCATGTAACAATGGGAAAAGGTTGTTTTACCTTTTAACTTACCTGTTAACAGTGCTGAAGATTTTCATATTGTTCAAAAGCTTTCCAATCAGGCCAGTGAGTGAGATGTTGATTGGTAATATGTAATAGAAGGAAAGTGGAAAGAATTGTATACAAAGGGGTATAGAGAAGGGTCATTGGCATATTCATGATTTTAGTTAAGGATACCCAAGCCTCTAAAAATTGTATTGTAGTACAAGAAAAAAACTTATTTCAGAACCATTTTTAGAGAATAGGCATATCCTGGCAAAGATGAGTCATTTCAGTTGACTTCTACAGATCTAACCCCACATACTGCCAAGTTTATCATACATGCTTCCTCTCATGTGACCAATCTGCAGAAGCAGGCAAGTTCTGGTGAAAAATATTGTTCACTATATATTTACAGTTTTGTACTAATGTTAAGTTATAATTTTTTTATGTCATTGACAATCATCTAGACCTTTAAAGCAAATTTGGTAAATTTGAATCAAACATTTTACTTAAAATATCTTGTTCTATCAAATCTTTGGAAACAACTCATAATTATCATATACACTGTGTCAGTTACAATGGATATACACATTTTGCATAAAAATTAGAAACCTATTAGATTAGAGTAGGTAAAGTAATGAAAAAAATAAGGAAAATTATTCCTGAGGTAAGCATGCAAACAGCTCATGTGCCACGTCATTCAATGTGGTAATGTGAGCTACACGTTCACCATGTGATTTACATTTTCAAATTTGTAATACATATGGTGGGATTATTAGTTAGATGAGGTCCAGTTGGCACTAAAGCAAATAAAATTAAGTAGAAACATGTGTAGACTGTTACGAGCTTTAGGCAAATTAGGAACTATTGTAATTTTCTGTTACAAACTGCTGTAATTATAGAAAGCAAAAAAAGGGTAATTCACATTTTTTTTTAATGGTGGTTACAAGGTCGGCTGAATCAGCCGAGTCCATATTGAGTAAGGGTAGATAAAATAAATTTCCACTGGAAAAAAAGTTTTACATCTATTTAGGAGGTTTCAGAGGTTATGAAAATAAACTTGATAAAGTTGCAGATGAATAAAGTTATTTTTAATCTCAACATAAAAACACCTTACATTCGGAGCACTCTGACTCCATATATTTACAGACAAATCTTTAGTAAAAGTACTTACTTCAAAAATCTGACTTTATGTTTACAAAAGAATTGTAATGTTTGCTGAAAGCCATCCAAATTTTGTGAAGATGCACATTCCATATTAAAAGTTATGGTATGGAAACTCTGATGATAGAATTTGCTGTATAATGGTAGGTAAAAACACAGTTTTACAGAGTTATATTTAAAATTTAGTCTACTTTATTATCAAGGCACGTCATCAAACTGTGCATCAAGATGTAATATAGGTCCTTAATTTCAGCAGGAAGTATTCAACTAAATTTTCAAATTTCACATCTATATTATGTGACATTTTGTTCGCTACAAATTGTACATTTTCTCCTTTTTAACTTCCCCTGTGTGATGTCTTGAACTTAATGTAAACTATACATTTATAGTATAGCTATAGTACAGCAAAAGACAACAGACCAAATGTAAGTATTAAATTCCTTTTTTTTATTTATTGTTATATAAGTAACTAAAATGTAAAAAACAGAAACTCATTAGGTAAACCAAGAAAAAATTAATGAAAGAATATTAATAATAAAATAAAATAATTTCTCAGTGTTATGTAATTGATTTTAAATCTTCATGAAACCTAGTCTTTTGAACTAACTCAACTTGTTGAACATTAAACAGATTGTCATGATTATCTTATCTAAGCAAATTTAATCTTATCAAGCTGATCAAGTGCTCACTCCTTACCTCACTTATTGATTATAGCTTGACCAGTGTGCACAGTTTGGCTTACACAGCTTAGACTCGTATTGGAATTTGTAAATTCATGATAACAGCATGCATTTCCCTCGATCATGATTCAATGAGAAGAACAGAATGATCTTTCATGACTACACAAATTAAAAATTAAAGTACAAGTTAATAATGATAAAATTTATCGCTAAGATTTGGGAGGGGTTAGATATGTTATTGAGCAGGAGAAAACAATCAGATGTAGGTTGTGGAGTTTAACAGCATAAATACAAAAATACCTTGTTATTGTACACAAATCATTATTTTACACTTATCAGTGTTGTGATCAGATTGAGTTTGTGATTTGTTTGTTCTACATCAGAATAAATAGTTGTTATTTTTATATCAACTTCCTTGTATCTTCCACACAAACACTACCAAACACAAATTAACAGGCCACTCATAGTGAGTCTCAGTAAACATACCACTTCAGAGTCTAGGGAATCTGTAAAGATGACCTTAGCAATATCACAAACATGCTTAAAGTACTTAATATGCTTATTATTGATTATTTATGCATTTTAAAATTTGACATTTAATGTTTATCTTTGTACTTTATATTATTCTTTTATCAAAGCTTTTTTTATTGTATCATAAGCATCATTATGGAAGATATTGTAGTGGTATTTATTTATCTGCTTTGAAATATATTGTTTCATAATTAAAGAATAAATTCTGCATATGCAAATATGCAAGTCAGTGTAAAAAAAGCTTTTAAATCACTGTATTACCCTTACTGTTGTTTTTGTCACTGCAATTATTCTCACCTTGGGTAAATAGTGGAGTTTCAAGATTTAAAAAACCTGAACAGATTTAATGAGTGCTCTAGTTTTTATATAAATACACACACACACTTTTGTTCTCTTTCATTTGGTAAGAGTACCTAAAGCTGTTAAACTTTCAAGTTAAATATAGCACTAAGGTTTCATTGACAGCTTATTTAGTAAAATATGAATACAATATATAAGCTCAAAATAAGTAGCAATATCAATACTGTTTTGAGAAGTATAGTTTGTAGCAATGAATGTTAGTGATGATTCTAAATGCTAGAATTTTACAAGAGTGTAAGTACAAAGGAAATTAAACTTTAATTTAACAATCATAGAAAAATACTAGTAAATAACCTTTCAGTACGAGAAGAAAAATTAATTTAAACAAGAATACCATATTAATCTTAAGAATAACAAACAAAATTACTTCAAAAACATTTGTGAATTATCCTTTACAACCTGGCCTCAAAACAGTGGTGATAATTTTAGTGCCAGTACAGAAAATCATTTTGTCAAGGTCATTTTATGTTACAATGTATCATAACTATTGGGTGTTGTGTTACATTGTCATTAAAAAAAATAGTGCTTCAGGCTCTACTCCTAGTCATGTGGGGTGCATTCACATGTTAGATTTGGTGATTACCATGGTAATTACCTTGGGTTCAATCGGTGGCCTTCAGATAGTCTAGCCTGAAAACATTTTCAAATCAAACTTAAATGGACTCATTTTTTCTTTATATTAAGTGTAGTAACTGTTAGTATTAATGTGTATATTAAGGTGTTGCAACTTTGGTCTGCCTAAGTTAGTAATGTTGATTTGTATGAAATGAATGCAAACACTAATAGCATACAAGAAAGAAATTTAAAAGTTATTTTATTCACTGCCTAGTGTATGTGTAAAATAACTAGACTGCATGCATATACGTTCTTAATTGGTATTAACACTACATTTAAGTGACAGTTTTTGTCTTGTGGTAAATTTCTCTTCCATCATACTGTGCATACTTCAAAGTTGTCTAAATTTGATTCTGGTGAAAAACTTTTTGAGCTCGTATCAAAAATGGCTAGATAGCAACTGACATTCTATATTTAATTTAGCTACACGTGCCACAGAAAGAACAACATCAAATAGTATTTAAGAATAGTTTAAAAAAATGCTACCCTGTATTAGAATTTTTATTCTGGAGTTGAATTCCTGATAATTATAATATTCTTTTATTTTCAATCCTATATTTTTAGAGTACTACTGAAGATGGTAATTAACATTAGAAAATTTTTTCAAACAGTTTCTATTAATTTAGCATTATTAGACACCCAGATTAGAAAGTAGATAGTTTAATGTTACAAACCTAGATTATCATTTTATACTGCCATGGAATATTAATGGTAATACATGAAGTATCTATAAAAGTTGTTTGTTTGAAGTGCACAATTTCATCAAGTAAGGATCCAACTAAAAAGTAAATACTTAAAAATTATGAAAAGTTATAAAAGTATATCCTATAACTTCTTGTTATTTTGTTTTTCATTGCAGGTTGAGAATCTGGATAGCCAACTTCCACAAACTATTCCCTTCACTATCTTGACTAGTGTCCCCTCCCTTAAAGAACTTCCTTCAGTTGCTGTGGATTCTGGGACAAATAGAAAAATCACTGTAATATCACAACATCAGGATGTTCATACGAAAGTAAACATGGTCATGTTAGGAGAAGAAATTTAGTACAGTTTGCATACAGAGCTTGTACAAAAGTAAATTGCTCCATCTAACCTTAAAATGAGTCTTTAATAATTATTTTCTAAAAATTTGAATTAAAAAATAGTGTCTTTTTTTTTAGCATCAGTTTGATGTTATCGGAACAAATAATATAAAGTGTCATTATTATTTTAATAAATTAATTTGTGTACAATTTTTCAATGTTAATTTGTTAGTCATTTGGCTCAAAGGTTACTCTCATTTCTATTTTGTAAGAGATATTTTTGAATTTTTGTTTTGTTTAGATATTACTAAACACTAGCTGCAACTGTTATGTTATTCAAATTTAAGTGAGATTTTTAGGTTTTTGCCATGCTCAATTGTCAGACCAATTGTACATACACATCACTGTAATAAGCTGAACAAACATGTTGTAGATTACTTATAAAAAACTTTGTAGCTAAGCCTGATCAATTAACTGTTAACTTTGTAAGCTATGAGTATTGCCAAACTACGCTTCAAAATGTTGATTTCGTTATGGTGAGATGTGTCAAAATTGTTTATTTACAAATTTTAAATGACAGTAAAAACTTGTATACATGTGATGTTGTTAAGCAGGTATTTAATTGTGTGGTTAATTAACAGTTTGGCCAACAACCATTATTTGGATCTGATGGACATCTTTTGGCTTGAATTTTGACCTCATGTCTCTCCATGTCCAGGAAATTTAACCATTTCTAGTGTATTTTCAAACACACAACCTTCAGAAAAACATCTGTGAAGGACAACAAAAATGTTAAAATTACATTTCCATAATCTGCATAAAAAGAATAAAGATTTGTTTTTCTGTTTATTGTTGATTCCACGGAAGAGACAAGATGGAGTCAAAATTAAGTTTAAATTGCTAATCTTGTAGTAATAGTTCTTTTGTGATAGTTTCAGGTAGAAACTGATTTTCTGACACATATTAGATAATGTAGACCCAGTAATAACAACAGGTTTGCTAAGGATATAAGGACAGTATTCTGCATCTGGTAACTTGGCTTTGTCACTCACACAAAACGACATTCACTTCTACTGGATTGTGATTTTAGCTCCACTGCTCTCCTCTCTCTCAGAAGAGACAGCTGTGTTTAACTAAACATGATGATTTTGAAATAAGTCTTTATTAAAATAACTCCAGGTAGTACTCTGAGTTAAGAAAATGCACCTGAATTCAACAGTTACATTCAGTTTGTTTGTCCAGTCAACAGCATCACCTCATGACCTTTTTTCCCTTATAGCATTGGTCAGCTGTAGCATACAGATAATGTTGATTCAACTAGCAAAGTATATTAAAGTCAATAATTTTTTCAACTTGGATACTGTATATTAATGCAATATCCTGTAGGGCACAATAGAGTATCTACTTTCGAGAACAAAGCAACCTTGACTTTTTGAACCATGTGTTTAGGCTAAAACTGCATATAAATTCAATAAACACAAAAATTTTAAAATTCCTGTACAACTAAAAGCAGGTAGAAAACATTATATGACTGCATATCACATTTGTATTTATATGGTTTTTATATTTTATAAAGTGCATAGTTAACTAAAGACAAAACAATATACATTTGTTTCAAATAGAAGAGTTGAAATACAGTAAATGGGGTCCTTAGACTTTGTATTTTTTTGTCCCCAAAATGTCATTTGGTTGAATTTCCTGACTTGATATATTTTTTTTGTGAAATTTAGTAGAAGTGTTTATAAATTCATGTATGCCTACTTATTACACATAGTTTGCTAGTATTGTAGTTTATAGATGAACTTATATTTCTTACATCCTAGAAATTTCCAAATAAAGTTGCAGTCTCATGTCTTCTAGTGTTGAAAAATTTAATTATAATTATGCATTTCTAAAGCAACATCAGAAAATACTTAGTTCTCAGAAGAAACTTCTCTTCAGTTTACACATTATCAGTAAAAACATATGTAATTCATTAGTTTAGACTTTTCATTCAAAACTAGATATGTAAATAGTGCTTATGTAAAATTTCACAAGTATTTCTTTATAGAGCATCACTCTCCTTTTTTATTATTTTTATTGGAAAAAGTATTTAAATCTAAACTAACCATTTTTTATAAACACGCTTCTTTTTATTAAAATGCTTTGCTAGCTTTAAATGTATACATCTTGCAGAATGTAATTTTGGTCAACTATTGCCAAATAACTGACTGTTATTTCTATGTCTACTTTACAGTTATCAAAAACATCATCCAATTTGGGAAACTTACATTGTTCTTTGTGCAAAGAATTGTCTTTATTGTTCAAATAGTTTTTTATAATCTGGAATTACTCAGATTTTGGTGCATTTTTCATCTAAGCTTGCAGAATTAAATCAACATTTTGTTTTAAAACTATATGGAGTCTTTAATGAAAGTAAACAACTTCATCATAAAGTCAAGAATAATTTATATAACTATATATATATATAGTCTAAATGGCACTTTTATAAAAACTTCAGAATTGATACATGTTATTATATATACACTTTTTTAATTATCAAATTCAAGTTTTTTCTTTTCTCAACTGCTTTGCTGTCTTGTTTAGTTTTAATTTGCTCACTAAAAATTTGTTTTTTCAGGTCTTCATTAGCTTCAAACTGAAGCAAAATCTCATCTGTATCCATAATAAACTTACTGACAAATATATTTTATGAATGTTTGTCAAATATGTGTGTATTATTTACAGGGTAACTGAGAAAACAACTTGCTTTTTCTAGAAACCTGAATAATGATAGTATATAAAACAAATTTGAGTATTTCTATATATACTGTAGATAACTTATTTGAACACAGATAAGACTGTTATCACAATAATATTTTTTTTAACTATATTAATTAGCATAATCATAAGTAACATGACAAATTTGGACAACGTGATTATCATTGTATTTTAGAAGAAATAAGTAATTACTAAGACTGAGTAGGTTTTTAAATGGTTGCATAAATTAGTAAAGCAAAATAATATGAAAATTCAATATAATTGAGCCCCTCCCAGTGACTCAGTGGTAAGTTGCAGACATACAATGTTAAAACTTAGGTTTTGATACCTATGGTGGGAAGTGCACAGATAGCTTATTATGTAGCCTTGTGCTTAACTAACCAACGAACCGAACTATTATGTAATTTATTAGTAAGTTTTGTATATATGTAACTATAGCTTCTGTAAGTTTCATATTTGGCCATAGCTATACAGTAACTTATTGCAAAGAAGTATAAGACATTACCCATTGTTTTACAGTAGACTGGTTCCAAAAACTGCTTTACAGAAATAAAATTTCAAAATCATGATTTTATATTAAGCTTCTTAAAAAGATTGTCAACAAAAATTCTTCAATTTAGATTGAAAGCAGGATAGTTTTACATAACAAATACATCAATATAGAAACATTTTTTTAGACACATAACTTCACTACTCTGTGAGTATTTGATGCTGAATTTGAAACTATATACTGTTACAAACATCTTTAAGCAATATTATAGTATAATACAGTACATTTTCAATTTTGGAAGAATTAGCACAAGCTGTGAATATTCTTAACCAAATAACTTTTTACTGATAAATGAATATAGGACACCAAAGTTAAATTTCAGAAGTACACCTATTTTAAGCATAAATTGTTTACTGTTAGCATTTTAACAGAAGTTATTTCATACTTAATTTTGATTTATGATAGACAAAGCAGGTACATTCAGTTGTTGAATATTTGTTTTCAAACATTTTAGTACCTTATTTCACTAAAAACCATATATCAGGTTGGTATGAGAGCAGTAGGTGGAAGTGTGTGTCTATATATATATATATATATATATATCCAATATGAGACAACAGGAACAGAAGTATTTAGCTGTCCATAAGTGTCATTATCTCCAGTTTTCTTTGCATTTCTTCAGTCTCTATGTATTCTTCTGTAAGAAAATGAACAGTAAATTTTGAAGATGTGGCAAGAAAGCCATTGTCTGAAAAATGTCCTTTGATGTCTTCAGCATGAAGCCATAAGAATGGTGTGATGGCATCAGCTTCCAGATGGATATCAAAAGTTTCAGAAGTAACAGTGGATTTGGTAACATTTGCCACCTGGAAAGAAACAATTAAAAAAATGGTAACAGTGGATTTGGTAATATTCACCACCTAGGAAGAGACAATTAAAAACAATGGTAACAGTGGATTTTGTAGCATTCACCATCTGGAAAGAAACAACAAAAGAATGATAACAATGGCTTCAGTAACACTGACCACCTGAGAAACATAAAAAATGGTAATGATGGATTTGGTAGCATTAATCTCCTGGGAAGAAACAACTAAAAGCTAAATACAGTGGATTTCGTAACATTCACCATCTGGGAAGAAATATAAAAATGGTAACAGTGGAATGGTAGCATTCACCACTTAATAATAAAAAAAATGTAGCAGTGAACTTGGTAACATTCACCATGTTGGAAAAAATAACTAAAGAAATGATAACATTCACCACTTAAGAAGGAACAATAAAAAAATGGTAACTAATCCCCCAAAAATGACTTTAAATGACAATAAGCATCTTATTTAGCATGGAATAAATTTTTTATTTTCTGTATGTATTCAATCTAATGATCAAAGTTCACAATCTGTTCTTTCTCTACATTTTCACAATTCAAGATGTAGTGGCAGTTTACTCACATTCTAGTTAAAATCTAGTTTTCTTCTCTTAATGGTAAGAGATTTTAGTATTTGAAGAGGAAGTTTTTGTTCGGAATGGAGAATGGTGAAGAAGAAACTGGAAGTAGGCACAGCATCACAATAATTTAAACACTGGTTAGTAATACTACTGTGTTGTACATTTTAGCAATAGAGTATTCTTTTATTTTATTGCAGAGCCATTTAGTGGTTGATCTTATATGTCTCTAGTTGCATATTGGACATGAGAACTTGTATACCACTAGTGATGTATTCAATGGATGCAGTTTGTCTTTAAAGCTGAAGAGCCCTTTTAATCTAGCCTCTGTTTTAGACATGCTTCAACTGTATTTAGGGGATATGGTTGTTTGATAAATTTCCTAATTTTCTTCTTAATCATGTATTAAATAATGCCTAAGTAGGGTATGACTAAAGTAACAATTTTGAAACCAGTTCTTAACCAGAAGATGAACACACTGCCACTACATCTTGAATTATGAAAATGTAAAGAAAGAACGGAACATGAACTTCAATTGTTAAATATGAGATAGACTAAAAACTCTGTATTGATCCTTTTGTAAATACAAAAATTATTTGGTTAACAAAAAATACTATAACTGAATTTTGAAAACTGTTAAACTCAATTCCTTATTTTCTTTCTCACAGCCATAATTCTATAAAATTTGTGTCGGAAACTGTTAGAATCGTATAGTATCTTGTTTGGGCATATTTTGTGAATCACAATATGATTGTAATATACGACTTAAAGCATAATGAATGGAACTAATATTAAAACTGCACTATGCCCAGGGAAACTATTGAAGCAAACTATTTTCATCAAAATGATGAAATATGTAGTAAAATATCATGCTTTTTATAAAGTGTTTTCATGGTCATTTTAAACTGATATAAATTAATTCTAGAATATACCTAGATATGCACTAGAAAGTTGCAATATCATAAGATTACCTTTACTTTAGGCTTTTGAATTCCTTTAGCTTTGTTCAGTGGTGATAAGAAAATTTCATTTGAAGGTCCCTCTTGCTCTCCATCTCTGTTTGTAAGGTAAAAGAAGAAGAAACATTCTTCCCTAGAGCATTTTGCCTTTTTAAGGATTTCATCCAGTGGATATGTAAAAACTACTTGAGAACTTTGTGGAGGCTGAAAGATAAAACAAATGCTTATAGCAATGGCTCTCAGCCTTTTCTTGCTTAGAATCCATTTGTTAACAATGATGGTCAGCCATAAACAGTAAATAGCTTTAGTAGAAGAAATAACTGAATTACTAAATAAATAAAATTTTATTTTTAAAGTCTGTTCACACATCCTGAAAAAACAAAGTTATAACTAACAATAAATTATAACATCATGGATGGAATACTTTATAATTAATGCATATAAAACAATGTTTAATTAATCCCTTGTTAAAAAGTAAGTAGAATCTTTACGGACTAAATATTTGATTTGTAGGAGAATTATTTCAACTTTATTTAAACAAACTTAAAACTGTCAGTAAAGACTATACCTGATCAAACAGGGTTCTAATGTCCAGTTTGGGTAAAAATGTGTCCCATCTGTGGACAACTGTGTGTAAAGTAAGGTTTCGTTGTGGTGTAAGATAATCTGAGATTACAGATACACTAATATTTCCTTTTCCATCTTCAAATGGTGAAGCTAACAGGGGAGCAAAAAACTTGACAGCAAAATAATGCAGCATTTTCCATTTACCACCATATTCTGGAAATTAAAAATCAATAAATGAGAATCTGTTTTAGTAAAACTTATGAATTCAGGAAGACATAATACCAAAATCTATTTAAATTGGATTCTTAAAATAATGTGGAAATCCATCAGCAATATCTAAACATAAAAACATTAAATTACTCGTACAACTTGGTTAGGCCATGCAATAATGTGAAAACATATTTTTGTTATAAATATATTTGTTTTCTCCTGTACTGGACTACCTTTCCTACCAAGAAGAAGAATGAAATTTGAAATGCATAAAATATACATATCCAAACCAAATATACAGTAGCTAGGTTATAAATAGTATGATGCTCTACCTCTAAATTGTGGAGAAGTGCTTCTATGTTTTTCCTTATGAAAAATACAAATATTTGGATGTGTTAAACAGCTGGATGTACGGGTATTCTACTATAAATATATTTTGGCTTCATTGAGGAATTTGCACATTAAAGATATCCTTGCACAACGCAAATAAGGTAAATGAGCTCATGTGCTTGTTAATTGTATTATGAATCTAATATATTCAAAACAAAAATAAAATGATTAAAAGGCCATCACCTTAAGAGATGTAGTTTGGATAATGCAATTGATATTATTTAATCTAACAAATACTTAAGGAGAAAATCTCCTTAGAAGTAGTTTCTCATTCTAAGTTTAAAGTATAAGATTATATCAAACTTTTGACTGTTTTATTAGGAAAATTCTAAACATGATGTGGCATATTTCATGGCATCTGTTGGACTTCTCTTTTACCAATGAATAGTTGGATTGACCATCACATTATAATGCCCCCACGGCTGAAAGGGCGAGCATGTTTGATGGGACAGGGATTCGAACCTGCAACCTTCAGATTGTGAGTCAAGCCATGCTGGACCCATAAAACTGTCATACATTGAATGGTCATAACTGTTTCATACCCTGTACACTATTATAAATACCATTACTTACCTTTAAAGTTTACTTTACATGTAATTTTATTAAATAAAGTTACGTACGTGTAGTTTTATTGAATAAAGTTATATCTGAGTTCGTTTGTTTGACTACATAAATTGTTTTCAAATAGACAAGGATTTATCGCTGTAACACATGATGCCTGCAAGAAATCATAGCTTAAATGGTATGCAAGAAAACTACCAATAGTGTTTTGCAGATCACAACTAGACATATTTTAATTTTTTAATGCTCTTTACATAAATTTTCTATCTAATTTGATACTATTATTTACATTTTTTTACTATTTATTCATTTGCTAGCAAAAGTAGCCAGCTTCGCTTGGTTTATTAGGTTGATTTATTCTAGATGACTATGTTAGTGTGTGTATTCTGAACTCATTTTAGCATAAAAGTATAACCTATATACTTTTGTTGCTCCTTTACAAGATGTGGCCTGTTTATAAAGGTAAGCTTCCCTCTGATTTGTCCTCTGATTTTAAACTTAAATAATAAAAATCAAACCTCTTTATTTAATGCACGGAAC